TTATCATAATGTTCGCGCTGCAAGATCATTTGCTTCTTGACAGGATCATTACGAGATTCAGTGCTCCCACGACCATTACGCAATTTCAGCGTTCCTCCTTGGATGGAATTTTAATTGAATTAGCCCGGCTGGTTACACATGGTGTGAACGATAACATTTTTCTGTCTATCTGGGCTTATTGAATCCACCAAGGGGGGAGAGAGAAGTGCTGACGGTATAAGGCAGAGCATGAAAAAGGACAAGGTGGTTTTTGGTTCATTCCAATATGCTTTCTTCCTGGCCTCTCTTTCTTTTTGCTCCATGCCTTCTTGTTCAGCAACAATGCATGCCATGAATATCATTGGCCTAGCCTTTCTGAGCCAGCTGACACTATACTGTATTACACACTCAGAGCTACTCTTCCATGTAAGTGCTCATGTAAGCTGAGGGCAGTGCAAGCATGATGTTAGAGAACAAACCACCACCAGCCACTCAAGTACATTCTCATAAGAATGATTAATGATGCTGGTCAAGTTATGAAAGGCAGAGCGATGGAGGAGGGAAGCTATCATGCTGCAGGCTGACAAGAAGCTTTCACTTGACTGTGAATTTTGAACCTCAATTCTTTGACGCTAAATGACACAGTCCATTAAAAGGCTGAATTAATGTGAGCTGGGTATTGTTGGAAACATTTCTATAGTCGTGCACATACTATACAAGTTTTAGTACCAGTACTAAAATGCTACAATTTTCAGGACCTTACACTGAGGGATACAGATGGTTACCAAATATCGTGTTGATGCACAAGCAGCCATAAAAGAGCTTGCCTCAGTGAAATGCAATTTAAAATTCTATAGCAGAAACTACAAAAAATAAGTAAATATGATGTTCAGCTTTCAGTACTAGACAGTTGTCAATATGTGGGTGGGTCATGGTCTGAACTATGTAGGTGTCTTCAAATGCACCTGCTGGTTAATTTGGTTCAGCTGGGGTGCAGCAGTGTAACGTGCAAAAGGGCTGGCTGAGGTGGAATATAAACTGGCAGGCTGTGGTGATAAATTGACTCTTAAGGTCCAGCCAGACCAAAAATCTGAAATTTACTGGACTACTGGTAGGGTTACAAACATAACCTGCTGAAGCTAGCATTGCTATCAGGTTAATACTATGTTTGATGCACATGGGAGGTCAGAAATGTAAAGCTCAAAACACTCCAGGAGTCACCAAGAGATGTATCAAAAAGAACTGAACCCTTGATTCAAAGATGGCACCCAGTCACTTAAAAATGGATGATGAAAATTGCACATGAGCCAATAAAAGTTTTCTAGTTTCCAGGGATGCTTCTGCATCAGGTGGCCCACTGCACACACGCATTAGTGCTTCTCCTGTTGGTCCCTCCTTTGTGCTCCGGCTTGGCCTATGAGCTTCTTATGGCCCACTTCACATGCATAAGTGCTTCTCCTGTTGGTCCCTCCTTAGTGCTCCGGCTTGGCCTATGAGCTTCTTGCTCAAGTTGGGAACAGTATGTGAAATTATTCTGAGTTTCCCAGTTAGAATTCTGCCTTCAAGGGGTCATTCTCTCCTACATTTACAAATATACATCAACCATGACACTAGGCTCAGCAATGCAGTAAAGGTGACCCAAACACTACACCCATGTGCCTCCACATCTGACCTGATTTTGGTGTTATTCTCCAGATTTGGCTGACGGCCAGCAAGATTTCCTGTGTGCCTTTCCAGAATTGACCCAGATATGAAAGCAGAATCAGACATTGGTGCTGTATGTAGACTGAACTGTGCCATGTGGATAAATTCTGGTAGAAATCTGTGGCCCAATTAACTGCCAGAATAATCTATAGGGTTTATCACGTTCACTCGTATTTTATCATGTTCGTGTGCTTACTAGCAATAATAGCAGTTATTTAGTTTCGAAAGTATTTGATGATGGTACTATAACCATGGCCATTTGACTGACATTACCATCGCTAATGTAGATCCATACCACTAGCATGACAGAAAACAAACAAAAACCACAAGACACTAGATAGAATGAGGAGAGGAATACTAAACCAAAGCTATAATATATAAATGTACAGTATCTTAAATGTCATATGTTAAGACACTGCAACAGCACAAACCTGCATCCATCTGTAAATGTCAAAATAAAAATCCCAAGTCTCATTTTATTTAGCAAAAAATGTTTAATCTCTCCTTGATGTGTGTTTATTTACAAGTAGTAAATCTGCAAAATAGGAAAAACTGAATATTTACACAATGAATGTTAACCTGCAAACTTGTGAGACAATTGCTTCAAGTCTGAAACTCTAAAAATGTATCAGTTATTCTGGTATTAAAATTCCTTTGCCAACTGCCTGAAAGTCATTTGCTTTGTTTCCTTGAATCCCATGTAACGTCCGTTAAAAAAAAAAAAAAAAAAAAAAAAAAAAAAAAACTTAAATTTCAAAAAATAAAAAAAAGAAGAAAGCAGTAAGAAAACAGAAGAATGATGCCTGGGCATTTGATTCAATTGTGGTTTGGAAAGGCAAAAGTGTGACTGAGCATATCTAAATAGCTGAGAATTAAACATGAGATACATGACAATGTGCTGAATTCGCTCATACTGAAGGCAGTGCAATAAATTTTACCTAATTTGTTCTGATGTGACAGAAAAAGCATAAAACCCAGCATCTCTCTGTCAAACTACAGTCAGCATGGTGTTTTAAGTCAGCAGCTGATGCTGGCTTCTCCACACAACTCCAAACACTCACAGACAGACGTACTTTAAATCACCTACATAAATACGAGTCAATTATCACACTAAGCGGTGCAAAATGATGGACAGAGAAGTGTAGCTGGAAAGTTGCTAGAAAACATACAGTATGTCCAGACTTCCAAAGCAGGTCAATCTAGAAGTCGAGTAGCCATGTGAATTAAAAACAGGCCAACTTCCTCAGCAGTCATTTAATCAACCACATTACACTCCAAATATGACGCAAATGAAGCATGAACCTGAGAATGGATTGAGAATGTTTTAAGTGTCTTTAAAAAGCCTTACCAACTGGACACTGCGGCCTCAGGTGGTTTTTGCCTGTGCTTCTGCAGGGACCGACTGGACTCGCCCCTACTGTACACTGTAGTCAAAGACATCATTGAAAGAGATGCTGTCAACAGCACTGCTGAGCTCTGGCCTCAGCACTCATCTATTTCCTTGCCATATGATCGAAAATAAGAGCAGCAAAATATATGAATGCAGCAAAAAGTCAGATGTATACAAGGAGAAAAAACATCACAAATGTCTGTACAATGGGCTAGGAATATTTTGGTGGAGGTGTTGCAGTACATGTTAGTGTAGTTGATTCCAAAAGAAATTATTTAATGTGGGTAGCCAACATGGTGGCAACATGGGCAGTGTCAAGACTGTTATCTGGCAGGACAGAGTGGACTTTCAAGTCCCAGTAGGTAACCAGTTGAAGTAGGTTCATATGCAATGACACGTCTCAGACATGTAAACATGATGGTGGGTTGACGCTAATTGGGGAAGTGCACTCAGTATTCTTTGATGTGAAGGAAGATTTTTATTATTTTTTTTATTTTAAACGAACCTGGCATAAAAATGTACAGTGACAGGAGGAGGCTCAGCAGACATTGGATCAGTGACAGAGCCATCAAGATCTCAGGATTCACATCCTGTAGGACTCTGACCAATGTCACTAGAGACAAACTTTTTAGTTTGTTCAAGTCTGACATAAGCAGGAAACTATGTAGATCTGCTCTGACCCCAGAGTAGATCTACAGGGCTGACCTAGCTGCATAAGGAAAGGGAGAAAGCGGAGGTCAACGCCACAGTGGGCCTGAGGCAGAGCTCACCCTCCACGCTGAGGAGAGAGGGCTGAGATCTGAGCTAGATGAGAAGCCATGTAAATCTAAGGAGACTGGAGGAAGATGTGTCACAACAGAAAATTCTGCTTGGACATGAGGAAAAGAGACAACCACCAGCTGGATAAAGAGCTTCTTACCAAAAGCCAGCAAAAACCACCACAAAGACAAAACCTTGGAGATTCCTGGAGGACAAAGACAAATGGAAGAGCTTGAGCAGGAGGAGGACAAAAGCAGTGTGGAGATGACGACAGAGCAGGTGGCCAGGAGCAAAAAACAGATCAGTCAGCTCCATTCTGAGCTCATGCAGGAGAGGTCATCAAAACAGGACCTGGAGCTGGACAAGAATAAGGAGAGGCATCTGAAGGAACAGAGAAGCCGTGCTGCTGACATGAAGGACCAGTCTCACTCCTCAGCAGGAGTCTCCCAGCTGGAAAACAAGATGTAGGAACTGGAAGAACGCCTACATGGTGAGGAAAGGGAGAAGAACTGCATGGTATTTCAACGACGTCTGGATGGGAATCAAAGAGCTCCACATGGTGCTGGAAGAGGAGAGACAAACGCATACTGAATAGAGAGTGAAGGCTCTACAGGCAGGTGGATGAAGGGGAGACAAAGCTGGAAAGGACAGATGCACTGAGGAAAAAGAGCTCAGACGGAAAAGCCCCTTGAGGATAACTTATGATCTGTGATATTGAGCTATACAAATAAAAACTTGTGGGCCAGAGTTACTGCACTGCGAGCTTAAGGGCAGCAGTACGCCCAGCTTCGGATTCATCAGCCCTCAGTTCAGATGATGAGGACGGCCTGTACGACCCCTCCACCATCACCTCCATCCTCACTGACAGCAACCTCCAAGAACAGCTCCTGTTAAAACAGCACTTCAGGGACAGGAGGAGGGTGGGAGAACATGGCACTGTAGAGGAGTGAATGTAAAGAAACAAAACATATTTTTCATTTCAGGATTTCCTTCAGTCTACATTGTACATAGATGCACTCCACAGTACAGCTGGAACAAATTAGTGCACTACACAAGGGACTCCAACAAAATCACTAGCACACAAAGCTGGGATGGCTGGATCAAAAAGAGAAAGATGATGCTGGAAGCAGAAAAATAACAAATAGGAAACACCTAAACACCTCTTGTATTTTTTTTTTTTTGGTACAAATACAGCATGTCAAACCATTTCAAGGTTGAGATTCTGGAGTCAAGCACTTAAGGTCCCAAGTCTGGTTTTGACTGAATAATGTTGTAGTTAGTTTACATGTTGAACTTCAGTTTTCAGTGTAGCGCAGGTGTCTACTGACTGAACTTACAAATTCTGAACCATGCACAAAGATTAAGTAGAGCTTCTGGAAAAACTTGGACCAAATGCTGACACTGAGGGCATTAATGATAGCCACAGGTGATTGGAAACACAACACTATAATCCTTATGCTGACTTTCTGGCAGATAATTTAACTAACTGATAAAAAAAAAAGGACAGCAACAGCATCTATGATCAGCATAAAATGAAAGCCCTAATGTCTGCTAGAAAAACAAAGCACAGGAGCTAAAAGCAGCAAGTCACATTTCCATCGAAGACTGATGCTCATTTGCTGTAACAATTTCATTTCGATCCTTGAGATCAGGAAAATAAACCTCGAGTTCCGCCAAGTACTTCAACTTCAGGCAAACCCAAGAGAAGTTTTTCTTCTGTGTACCGTAAAATGTACAATTTACATGTCGAAAACAAAAAGACAAAAACAAACAAACAAACAAAATGACCTGGTTACAAAAAGATGGCAAACACTTTTTGTTCATCATGAAAAAGTATACAATTTACAAATGAAAACATTAACAAAAACATTATACAGACCACAATTTGGTTTATCGGCAAGCGGGGAATAAAAAATCTTATTTTTCTCACCACAAAGTCAAAAACTATAAATTCGAGACTTCATATTATGAGAAACAAAGAGTAGTAATAAAAAAAGCTTTAGCCAGACATGGCAGTTGGCTAGTTCTGAAACAAGAGCTGCAGGCTGAGGAGAGGATTACTCAGCCTTGTGGAGCTAATGAACAGAGGTGTCTCACCTCTGCATCACTATATACCTCCCTACCCCTCTCTATGAATAACAAGCTGTCTCAAATACATAGGTTAGAAATGAAGAGAAACACTCAGTATATCTTTTCCTTGCTCCTCTAGTTGGGTATTAACATTGAGAAAATGAAAAAAGAAGTGGCTTTCAGCTGGAAACAGCTTCCCCCACTTTATTTGATCACCGAGGGGCTCGGCTAAGCTCTACCTGACCTCACTGTGGCTCCTGTGAAGACGTAAACAGAGTCTGAGAGCACCAAGACTTTGGCTTTACTCTTCCGGGTCTGTGTCGGAAAATTAATGACCCTTCAATGGATGGGTACCAGAAACCCAGGACACGTGGAATCTGTAGATATGGTGGTGGCTATGTGTTAAACGGGGCAAACCGGAATATTTTAGGTAGTGCAATGTAGCTACTTCATTGTTCAGTCACTATACCATGATCCAATGAATAGTCACTTCTTGACCCTTTAAGAAAAGAGTCTGCTGTGGAGCCAGACACCATGGTCATGATAAAGCAATAATCCTGTGTGTATATATTTGGTTTCCTGAAACCAAAAGATTGCACTGATTGAATCTAGAAACAACAGCAACTTCATGTTAACATTATGACACTATGAAGTGTCTGAACTTAAGACGGACAGCTACGCATGTCACCTCATTTCCCGCCATTTTCAACAAAGACCTTACAATGGGGTTGTTACTCAAACAGTTCTTTTTAGTCACTAGGCATGTTCATATTTAAAATCAAAGGGTAGCACATTCCATCTAACAAAATGTCTTTGCACTAAACAACATTCAAAGAAAACGTGGCACAGTACGACTTTTTTGTTTCTTTGTTTTGTCTACGTTTTTTTCTGTACTTGAAATATCAAATTATGTTTTGTTGTTGTATTTTTAGTGTTTGGTTTATAATGAAAAGGAAAACAACAAAAGTTTTTTTCTCCCTAATCTTTCTTTAAAAACGTAGCTGTATTTATATATAATATCTATATAGTCTTCCTTTGTAACGTTTCTGTAAATTGTGCAAATTTAGCAGTAATACAAGTGGAGAGAGATCAGAGAGTGGGCAGTTGATTACATTTATACAAAAAAACAGAAAAGCTCACATCCTTTAAAACTGCGACAGCCATTGGAGTCACATTGCCTGGAGAGCATCTCTCCATTGGCTCATCACAGATTGGTCCATCCCACTAATGATGCCATATATGGAGTTCCTTTCCAGGCTTCCACAGTTTCTTTCCTGACGATTCGCTTCATAATGACAAAACTCCTAAAATCAAAATCAAGCAAACCACAAACACCAACATCCACAATAATCTACTGCTGTCAGTTGACATGTTTCTCCATTTATGCATGTCTGAAAATGTCTGGTGTCCCAGTCGCTCACAAAGACACATGCCCACTCACGGTATGGGGCTGCAGACAAACACACACACACACACACACGTAAGCGTACACAGGCCCGCCCATCTCTGCTGAAACCCCCCATTTTGTAGTATACTGCTTCAGCCTTTTTGCAGTTCGTCTGTCGTACTGTCGGGGGTTGCAGTTTTGTTTGTTGTGTGGGTGAGTGGAGCGAGGGAGAGAGACAGATGGAGAGGAGGAGTGAAGAGAAGGAGGAGATGGAGGTGCTGGACAGTCCTCAGCTGGTCAGGGCCATTGTGTCGATGACCTGCTCCAGCTTGCTCCTCAGTCTCTGTCTCCTCGCCTGCTCGTCCCGCTCCAAAGCTGACAAGATCTGAGGAAAGGGGAAGAGGTCAGTGCACAGAACAAATGTGCAAGCTTTCCCACACAAGGCTGTAAGACGACTCTGATATCCCACCTGGCTGATTCATACTTGATACATCATGTGAATTCTCATAAAAGCTGGTATTAATGTAATAGGTAGTATAAATGCAGTGTCCAGCACGAATAAATAAAGTCCAGGTCAAAAAAAACAAAGAAAGGAAATACTGATGGTGGTAAAATTACCTAGCCTACTACTACAACAGCTTACATGGTGCACTTAGCTTTAGGTCTTTCTTCCACGGCACTGATTGCATCAGCACAAGAAGAGAATCGTATCACAGTCAAAACTCTGGTGCTCTGTTTCCACTTTTAACAGAAAAACCCGTTCATCCACTTATTAAGCTTAGTTTTTCCACACTCCTGTTTTTCCAGATCTATGTGAAGCTGTCCTCATCGAAACTCAGCACTCTCACTGAAGGTTTTCACATTAAAGGCCTGAAACTAACGGGCAGGGTCAAGGACCTTTAATGTGAAAAACCTGCCAGAAGCCAATGGAAACTATTTCTGTTATTAAAGAACAACATTCTCTAATGTAATAGTGCTGTGGAAATGTACATACTGCTGAATCTATCAAAACAACATGTAAACATGAAGGAAGTTGGGGACTGGCATTAACTGAGGAATAGTAGGAGAAATTAGGAATCATTGCCTGCCAATCAAGGTTACTATGGAGCTACTGTCAAGACAAAAATATCTAGTGTGCCTCCGAAATGGCTACTATCTCACCTCATCCTTGTACTTGACGATGTAGGAGTAGATCTCGTGTAGAGCTGACATGCTGTTGAACTGGTTGGCATGCAGGCGTGACTGTTCCGCCAGGTAGGCACTCATGTCCTGGTCGCTAATGGCCGGCATCCTCGAGATGTCGGAGTAGTACCTGGATATAAGGACATTTACAAAAAAAGTTGAAACCTTGCATAGTTCATGTAAAAATCACTAAATGACAAATTGGGTTTAACATTTGCTCATGTACCTTTCTACCCAGTTCTTATAGTTGGGGATGTCTTTAGCATAGAGCAGCTTGTTCGAAGGCGAGTCCTTCCCCAGCTTATGCTCTGATGTTGAACACGAGTCCATGAAGGTCTGAGCCACCACAGACAAGCAGGCGTCTGTAATGCTGTTCTTGTGGATGTCAAAGACAAATTGCGGGTTCTTGATCACATTCACCCAGAACCTCAGTGGAAGACTGGAAGGATTGAGAGAAAACAGGAATAGGGTGGAAGGAGGGAGAGGAAGAGCAAGAAGGGCATGACAAATTGTTAAGGTGCAGTGAGAGGAATAGTAGAAACATTCTGCTGCACTGTCAGTGTAAAGGTATTGCATATTCACTGGCTTACAGTCTACATTTTTCTCCTACAGCAACATCTTCACAACACTAATGAGACACAAAGAAGCTACCAAATGCTCCCAGTGTCACCCCTTCACAGCGTGTGTGCACAAACTCACCAGTTGCTCTTCCAAGTGTGCCGTACATCGGAGTCTGTTATAGAGTGCTTGTCTGCTTGCTCGTCCAAGAAGTCAAACATGTACTTGATTGCGAGAGGCAGGGCGCTGCCTCTGTGTGCTGTGCTGAAGATGGTCTCAAACAGGTCGTCCACAAACTTCTGGAGTGTACCCTGAGCACAAGAAGCAACGCTGGCTTTGTCAGTTTGACAGAAAAAACATTTGAAGTTTCTTTGTGTGTGCTCATAGAAGATGCACATACTACGATCCCATAACTCTTCTCGTTCTAAAACATGATAAATGATCTTATAAACCCACTTCTGTGTTTTATAGTGCACACTGGAGAGTTGTGATTTAAAAAACACAGATGCTTATCATGGTACACCACATTATTTAGAAAAGGACCTTTTGTTTACCTTTATTTATAATTCAAATGCAAATGTCCATGTTAGTTACATTTGATTAAGTCAAGTTATAGCTCAGCTAAACCTCAGCCTGTTTGCTGCTGATGATTGCTGCAGGCATCGTCTGTCAGCAGCAGGTGTTTGACAATGACAGTGCTTCGCTTGTACTAGTCCAACTTTCTGAGAATTTGTGATGATACTGAGTGCTCAGTGTTGTTACAGTGTTTAGGATGGGGCCCCAACGAGAGTTCAGCCTAAGGCTGTTCTGCAATGTTTTTTACCACATCATACAACTCTGGAGAGTCTGAACCCTCGTAAACTCCTCTGAAGTTGAAATGATTTGATATTTCCCACAAGTGTTCGGCAACTTCTTTAAGCCAGCCAGAAGTTGAATCTGCAGGTTTCTATTCATTCACACAGCAACAAATCAGCTTCCTAAACACACAAAGCTGTGGGGGTTGTAATAAATAAGAGCAAACTGCAGCACTTTACATTTCCCCAATTGTCTTCCTCTGGCTTGCATGTTAATCATTTACCAATCGAGGCGGGACTGATACCCGTAAGGCGCTAGCCTTGCACTTTCCTACCTGGAGCTCGAACAATGGAAATCTAGAGCTAATGAGTGAAACACTGGGGGAGAGAAGTTGCAGGATGAGCTGAATCATTGAGACAGTTAACACTAGCAAAAGCCTAACATTGTTGATGGACTGTATAGGTAGACACTCTGCTTGTGTATACAGGGTATTTGTTAATTTGTATGATAACGTGCATGTGTGTTCCTAGTGACGAGGTGGGATTCACAACATGCATTCTGTTTGTAAGATGTGCCCTGAGTAAAGTAAGAGTTGCCATCTCTAAGTGGATTCAAGCCATCTCTTCTATTTCTCATTTTTGTTTAGGTTTGTCATATTTATATATTTCATTGACCCAAAATATGCTAACTATTCTGACTGCAGCTCTGTTCTGTCCCTGACCAGCAGAGACAGATGCAGACAGTTACATAAACTCAAAAAGTATATTATTTTACATTAACAACTGAATGCACAGCTCAAAGCAGAAAATCAGCCTGGTTTCTGAGGAAATGTGAAACTAAGTAGGAATGTTTAGATTTTTTTGTCTTCATAACCACTGTGTGCTGTCTTGAGTTGGCACTGACGTGAGAAAATAGGGCAAAAGCAAATATCATAAGTTACTTTTCCTGTGGACATTTTAGTTTCTTGGGGATAGATAGGACTACTAATCCTAATATGTGTTTTCCTGCTATTTTAATCTCATTCTTATTCATTTCATTAAAATGTCAATATGGAAATGTGAGATATGAAAAACTGCAATTTTTCTTTGTGAGATACTTAAGCATTAGACTGTGCACGAGAATAACCTGACCAACCTTTCCTGTTGAAAAATAGTCACAAAACTGAAACAAAATAAAAACTGAGGGATGAAGCACACACTGAGTCATCTTTGTTTCTCCAGGACATCAACACAAACACCAAGGTTTCACATCATACTGCACAATAATAATAATAATAAAAAAAAAAAACAGAGCCCAGGTTCCAGAGTGTGGAAGAACTTGGTGAGCAATGATGGCATGGTAAAGGCCTGGGTATAAAAGCCCTGAGGCCAGCGACAGAGGGGTCAGGAACACCAACCCTACAACTCAATAGACAAAGGTCAACCTCCTAATTAAGACACACGCAGTCATTCCTGTGAACATGTGTGTCTTTGTGCAAAAGGTTAGGAAAAATGTTAATGAGCTTTGAGACCACCACCAAACAAAGGTCAACAGGGGCTGCTGTTGGAAGTGGGATACATGATAGGGCTGTGGTGGAGTGGAGTGGAGGTTTCGGCTAAAAGGTGAATAAGTGTGTTAATATACAAATTTTTGGTACCTTGGTGGCCAGCAGTCTGGTCAGGTAGATCTCAGAGACCATCTTGCTGCCTCTGTCCCCTTCCCTCTGATCTGAATGGTCGTGGTTCTTGACCAGGTGCCACAGTTTGGTTCCGCTCTCGAGGTCGGGGGTGATCATGGGAGTTCGGGAGCGCAAGCTGTCTGGACTGCTGGCTGTCCTCAACATGCTCTCTACGAGGAGGTGGAGAACAAGACATGGGAGAGAGGTGAGTGAAGGGCCAAAAAAAAATAGGAAGAACAGAGACAAATGTGGGGCTGAACATGTGTTTTGACATCATTAGTGAAGGTTCATAGGGTAAGAGAGGTTCAGGATGGTGTTCTGCCTTTTTTGTTATCCTCCTGATGAAGTTCAGAGGTCAAAGTTATGTGTAGAAGTGCTGCTCTGAGTATACAAAAAATCTGGCTCTGCAACAAGACAAACTGCAGAGGAATCTGACAAATGAGTGCAGTCTAATTAGATCACTTCGGCAGGGACAAGGCTTCCTGTGGGATTGAACCAGGGTCCTCTGGTTAAAAAGGCACATGTAATATTAAATAAATATAATCTGATTGCATAACAAACAACCCCGTAACTTGCTGCCAATCGTTATAAAAATATTATTTTCCCTTATTTACCATTTCAAGGGAACCAATTTAATCTACACAGGCAGAAAAACACATGAATAAGAAATCTGGGGCAGCTAAAGAGCGAAATCTGTGAAGTTAAAAGCATTTCTGAAAGGTGACAGCTTCTTCTACTTGCACGTCACTCTTCATTCCAAAATAAATTTGTCTGTCACTCTCTGTCCTGCTCGCTCCCTCCCTCCCTTTGTTGGACAGTGATCTCCTATTTTGTGACACAGAGCATTTCGCTTTCAGTTCGAATGCTTGCCAGTTGCGTGACACAGCAGGAAAGGATTGAGAGGTTCAAAATGTCAGGAGAGAATGTGGTCCAGGGAAGTACAGAGTAAGTGTGATGGGGGTGTTATTAAGTATTATGTGTATGCCACAGTGGCAATGCTTAGGAACAGAGTTACTGTAGACTGGAGAGGGCCTGAGGATTGGAATGAAAGAGAGCCACAGGAGAAAAGATGATAGTGAGGAACAGCGGTCCAATTCACAACTAACATTAACGTGTGCCCAGTGGTATCTGGACTGTGTCTGGACCCAGTGGAGCTGGATTATTGGTCTTGAAAATTCATCTAATTTGAGCAAATTCATTTTTGTTCCCTTGCAAAATACAGTGTTTCACACACTTTCATTCAGAACATAAGCGTATATATTTTCTTACAAGGTTACCAACCCATTTGGAATGCTATCAGACCTCATAGTTACACAGAATGGTGCCGTGACCGACCGTGACCTCAGGAAGGAGAGGCACGCCACTGGCTACAGCACCTACTTTAGGTTAAGAGATCACCCACATTGCAAGAGGCCCCTGCATGTGCACATATCCAGGGGCAAAGCTAAGTGGCTGAAAGAATATAGTACTCCTCGGCTAATTGATTGCGTGACCATGCTCACAAGCAGGGCAAGGTACTGTCCTGCCGTTAATTTGCCAAAAATACAGGGCAAATCGCAGTTTCCTTATTTTACTGTTCCTTGCTCCTCAATCCTCGCTCAACCCGGAAGTCATTCCAGTCCGTTATGTTGAAGGATGATCCAAATCTCTTATTCCTGCTTTTAGGATCAAGGAGCAAGGAAGTCGTCTGAGGCAGTGGTCCCCAACCCCCGGGCCGCGGACCGGTACCGGTCCGTGGATCAATTGGTACCGGGCCGTACAAGAAATTATTATTTATTTCCGTTTTATTTATTATCTGAGTATGAACGATCTTTTATTTTGAAAAATGACCGTGTTGAGCTTTGCAGCTTCACCAGCGTTGAACTCGGGAAGAAATTTGACGGAAGCAATAATATCTTTTAGCTCTCTTAGCATATTTTATTGGAACAAAGAATAACACGCGTCTACACTCTTCTAGTGTGACGACCCCAACTGAACTCAGACCTTCCCGCTAAAAAACAAAATGGGTGCGCTCACAAAAACTGCGCCCCACGGTGGTGGAAACGGCACACTTCACATTACAACAGCATGACTACACATTACAACTGAGTGCACATAAAAGAATGTCTCTCAACAGACCGCATTCTCTCAGTTACATCTCTGTCGAGCGCCAAAACTGGCTTACTTGTGCGACAT